GATTCGAGGAAGAATCCTTTTGAAGAGGGAGGGGATGATGTAAACACGGAGTCGAGTGCATCAAAATCAAGTCAGGAAATGATCCGTTGATTATCGAGGGAGCTCCGATGACACGGTCGAGAGAAAAGCGGGTGAAAGAGGCGATGGGATTGCTTGCTCAAGCTATGGTGGACGAAATGTCAAAGTTAACAATCCAATGAACAAGTTTCATGTTGGGCTCGGAAGAAGAAACCCAATGGATCAACTCGGTTCAAGCAGCGAACAAGCAGTATGGATGAAAATGTGCATAACTTTCAACTCGGGTGTCAGATTTCCGTCCATTAGTACAATCCGAAAACGGTACGAAATTCCGAACAAGGAAAAAGTGGATTCAAAATTAATATCATGCGACCGCACAGTAAAAAATACCATGCGGCCGCATGGAGTCAAGCAGAGAATTCCAGACTGCATTTCAGATGAACCAGGTGACCGCATCCAATTCTACCATGCAGTCGGATGCGGTCACATAGGCCAAAAGCGAGGCGATATTTTTCTTTTTCTTGCGGATTTCCTAATTGCAATAGAATTATACTATTACCATAATTTTGTAGTCTTGGGAATATTATGAACGGTTTTAGCTTGATTTTAGAGCTAGTATAAATATGATTTTCATTCTTCATTGTAAGAACACAACACATTATTGAGAATTATTTTGTAATGCAAATTTGCTTTCAATCTATTGTTCTTCATTGGACAATTTGCGAACTTATCAAGAATCGTTCTTGTGGCGTTCAAATCAACCAGATGAGATTCTATAATATTCAATCAAAAGGGTCAACATATTGTTCGCGTATCTGATGGTTATTTTGATTCGTTATTTTCGAATCAAATCCAAAACTTTGAGTACTTTGACTTTCTTGGGTTCGATTTCAATCTAATCGTGGATTTCGTAGTTCTTCGTACGTGGATTCACATGATCACGATTGGTCATGTTGCGGTTGGGTATTAATGATCATGTGATTGCTTCATGTAAATGATTACTCATATGTATTTCTTTGAGATATACTAAATAAATTGTTAATAATTGAAAACTTTATGTTAACATTTTGAAGTTTATTTTTATTATATTAATAAGTATTTTCTCGACAACTCTATTGTCTTAATATGTGCATTTGTTATGAGCCATTTTCTTTCTCTCAATCTTTTACAGATGTTTTTTGGCTGAAATAATTAGTAATTAAAATTCATGCTTCCATAACATCGTTGTGCATATAATGTATCATATTTGCCAGTTTGGGACATATGTTTTTCCTAATCATTCTATAAGTAATTTTGTTTATGGTAATTGTTTACCACAAAGTTTTTGGGGTATTTTCTTGTTCATTTGTTGTGATCAATTTTGTAACCAACTATTATCTCTCACCATCTATTGTAGTGTGTCATGTCATCCGAGTATTTAGCATAAGCTAAGTATCGGTATTTAGGAGATCATTGCTTTGATCTCCTAAGAACTAGGTGATTTGTCATAGTACAATAGGTGGGGTAACCAGTTTTGAAATTAACCATTATCTTCCACTACCTATTGTAGTGAACCATGTCATCCGAGTGTTTAGCATAAGCCAAGCACTGGTACTTAGGAGATCAGTCCTATATGAACGATTATATCAATTATCAATTATCACTATGTAAGATTTACCCTATAATAACTATTGGAAAATCAAATCCAACGTAGCGTGTCGATACTAATGTTTATGGACATTGGCTTGAAAAAGATAAGAACAATGCTATCTAGTTATTTTTAAGAACAGTTGGGTAATAACACGTGGTTGGTTCGATTAAATTGACCATACATCCTTATAAGTGANCTTTAACGTAGTGCATCAAATTGCAAAACCTTGAAGGGAAATATAATTAGAAGTACTTAATTTTATTGCCCTGAAAAGTTACTGTATACTAGAATCCCATTTATACTTACTAGGGGACATATGAAAATGCATGAGAATAACTGTGGCTATTACATATTCAAGAAGACTCCTTAAAATGCTCAAATCAATTATTGAAATCCTAGTAAGACACTTGACTAAATTAAAGTTCTGTAAATGATTCTTGAAAACTTTAGTGATCATAATTTGATTTATTTTCCAACATCATCTCCTGTAAATCAAATTTGCTTTTCATTCCAAGAATCTCAAGTTGTTTCTTGAAGTTTGACCTTCAATTGGTTTTGTAAAGACATCTGCTCTTGATCTTCTACTTTGTAATATTTGACTTGAATTATTCCATCATGAACAAGCTCTCTCAAGAAGTGATACCTCATACGAATGTGTTTAATCCTCCCATGTAGAATTGGTTCCTTTGTAATAGAAATCACTGAATTGTTGTTACACAAAAGAGTTGTAGGAACATCTTGTTTGTGGTTTAGATTCTCCAAAATGCCTCGTAACCATACAATTTGGCAACCGGTAAAAGATGCCACAATATATTTAGCTTCCGTCATCTAAAGAGCAACATTTGGTTGTTTCTTGAAACTCCAACAAATTACTCTACTTCCAATACTAGAGGCATAACCGACGTACTTTTACTATCATCAACGTTTCTTGCAAGATCACTATCAGTGGATCCAAAGTGAGTAGTTGGAACATTTGCTTGATAAAAAATGCCATAATCAATTATCTCCTTCACATATCGTAAAATTCTTTTAGCAGCTTCCCAATGTTCTGAATATGATATTTCTAGGAACATGCTTATTAAATTCACGACAAACATGATATCAGGCCTTGTGGTTGTGAGGTACATCCGATTTCCTACTAAGCTCCTGAACATGGTAGTATTAACAAGCTTTCTTTCTCTTTCTCTTTCTCCTGAACATCTTGGTATTGCCTCTTTTGATTCTTGAATTCTTGTTCTTGACTTTGTCTTCTTACTCCATAATCTTGATTTCTTCAATACTTCTTCTTGATTGTTGATTTTTTGTTCTTGATAATGGGTTTTGGATATTCCTCTTCAATATATTTTCTTTTATAGTCTTGTGTTGATGGAATGACACAAAAAATGAGAATCACATATTAATTGTGGACCATAACCCTATATATAGTTTCTATATGTATTCGGCTCATCGTCAAATACAACTCTAATGAATCCGATATCTACACATATAATTTGGCCCAAACTTTATTTAGATGCCCGAAGTCCATAACTTTAATTTTTTATTAAATCACTTTAATTAGGCTTAACCTTAAGATAGTCTTTAATAAACACTTAATTACGTATGTAGGCCCACATAACAAATTAAAACCCAACACGATCATCCCCCATCCTTGTTCCTCCCGGCTGATAAAAGAAAAAAATAAAAGTGTTGATAAGAAAAAGAAATGCACCTTGTGTGATGAACTCTCATATCTTACTTGCAGTTTTTCATGAAAGTTATGCAGTGTCGTTCCAACCGTTAAGCTGTGGAGATAAGAAAAAAGGTAAAAAAAATCCCTACAAATTGAAAAACCCGAACAGGTTTTCATTGGATATTCATAAACTTCCTAATTCATTTTAATTGAATGGTTTCTATATGTTGAAGACATTATGTATCCATCAGTTGTTATGAGTTTCTCTGTTACTAGATTGTATGAATGGCCATCAATTTCGCTATTCCTTTGAATTTTCCATATCATCATTGATACTTATTTGTTTTTTGGCAGTGTAGAGGCTGGTCAATTTCACTCTAGCTCCACTGTTCATGCTCTACCATCGTACGCTAAGGTTCCTTGCTGGTTTTGTTATCTTTTGTTCTCTGCATACCTGAAACCTTTATTGTGCCATTGCTTGGATTATTGTGTTTTTTATAAGACCTTCACATAGTTTTCCTAATATAATACAACTTGGATTACATGGATTGCTGGGCTTGAGTATTTTGTTATATTATTGAACGAATTCATGAACCATAGAAGGTTTTTATTAAACCGATGCCTTTGAACTTACTTCTATACCACTATGTTCTTCATCTGTACTGGAGAACGTGAGGGATAAAAACCTCACTAGTATTTGAACTGGAATTCCAGGTAGACAATAGCTATCTTATCACGCTATCCGACTTGTATGTGAAAAGCATTTCGTACTCGTAACTGATCCCTTCCTAGCGAAAGGTGTGCTCCAATTGAACATGGCAAAAAGAAAGAAAAGATAGGCCAGCCGGGAAGCAGGAAAGAAGGTGTCAGAACATGGCAAAAAGAAAGAATGTAGGCTTTAGTTTATTGAGGGTTCAATTCCCTCTCTTTATGTAATATTCTAAATGGATCCTAACTTTGTCCTGGAAATTGTAAGTAGGTTGTATCATTTAACGGTAAAATGATTATTTTAGCTTTTACATATGATGAAAAAATCAAAAAATTGATACTATTGGATCTTTATATTTTTGTCATCATAATTTTTATCTTAATGTCTAGAAACTTCAATTTACTCGATCAATTCGAAAAAATCTCAAATTGAACTGAACATGTTTTTTCACTCAAATGATTCATATTGTCACCTATGAATATCAAGTTCATCATTTATTCATTTAATCTTATTTCTAAAAATTTTCATTTTGGTCACACAAGAACTAAAACAATTCGACTTTAGCCATCATGTTCTCAAATTTTGCCTTTAAAACATGTTGGAGAAGAGAGATATTTGATGATTTCAAGAATATATGCTAATATTGAAGTTGGAGAATATTGGTTGATGATAATTGGAATGTTTCCATAATTTGTTATATTCTTTTCGTGATTGTCTCATCTATAATAAGGCAACATTGTTGCAATATGACTATATATGTGTCATTGTAACACTTCGGATATAAGCGAAACTCTCTTCTCCCGTGGATGTAGGTTTGCCACACTGGCACCGAATCACGTAATTTTTTGTGCTCTTTCTTATATATTTTATTGAATTCTTCATGTTATGAGAGCAGATGTATTGATTTGGCCAACAATTCGAAAAAAGGGAAAGCAAAAACGAAATTTTTCTCTTTTGCACAATTCAAATTTTTTTCAGCTTTTCGCAATCTCCACGAAAACGGCTATATCTTTCAAATCGTAACTCGGAATTGCACAAGGTCGGTGCCACTGGATTTGTATCTTTCAGCCTATTTTCAGTAACGTTTGGTGGGTCAAAATTTCCCTTAAAGTCAGATGTTCGTGTTTTTTTTCAGTTTTTTGCAGTTTGAAGTTCTTTTCAATTTGTCTATGAGTTTACAATGACTGAGAAAGCCATTAATCCATCTATAGTGATGGAGAATGATGTTAATCCTTCATGGAAGTTATCTACTATTCTCTTGAATGGTATAAATTACATACCGTGGTCAAGAGCTGTGACATTATTTTTTGGTGGAATGAAAAAGTTGAGTTTTATCAATGGCACTTCTACTTGTCCAGATTCTGCAGATCCACAGTATGAATGGTGGATTTCCGAATGATCAACTCGTTAGGTCTTGACTTCTAAATTCAATGGAAGCACATATTGCTGAAATCTTTGCCTTTTCAGATTCGGCAGAAAAATTGTAGAATTCGATTAAAGAGTTTTACGAAAATCGAAACAACGCTACGCTACTAGAATCTTTGAGTTGAAACGGGAAATTGCTACTACTGAGCAAGGGGATAAGACATTCATTGAGATTCTTGGTTATCTTAAGAAGAAGTGGGACGAATTGAGCGTGAATCACCCACATACAACTGATGCAAAAATTTTGTTGAAAAGGGCCGAAGAAGATAAGATATTTTCTTTGCTAAGTAGATTGAAGTCAAAGTATGAGAATCTTAAGAGTCATATCCTTGTGAGTTCTACCCTGTCAACCTTCTCTAGTGCGTGTGCAACTATGCAGCGAGAATATACTCGAAAAAAGACTGTGAATTTTAAATCGAAGCATATATCTAAGTCAACTACTTTTATTGTGAAAAAAGATGAGAAAATAAAAAGCTTCTAGGACAAGGGAAGACGGGAAGCTTCAAAATGTGATCACTGTCACATGCTAGGACACTCTAAGAACTGTTGTTGGGACCTTCACTCTCATCTTAAGCCATCTACTATGAAAGGAGGAAGCAGGGAAGTTGTTGTTATTGCTGACAGTACCATCTCACTAAATCAATTGAAATGCTCCAACAACTTGGTCATCCTAGTCATCCTAGTTCGAAAGAGTCTACTCCTTCTACCAATGTTCATGTCTCTGGTAGCCTCGAAGCTTACTTCTCTTCTTATACATCTAAACATTTGAATACTTAGATTATTAACTCGTGTGCCACTGATCATGTGCAAATGATGCAGCATCTTTAAGTGATTTCTTAAAAATCCATCAAAATATGTTGTTTCAGTTGCTAATGGTACCTCAATACCTATTTGTGGGTCTCAAAAAATTAATCTTTTTCCTGATCTTCCTAGTACAGATGAACTTGTTATTCCTTTGTTTCCAACTCAACTTCTTTATGTCAAAAAAATAACTATCTCCTTCAATTGCAATGTTATTGTTTCTCCTAATGATGTTGTGTTTCAGGATCGACCTTCGGGAAAGAAGATTGGTGAAGGTGTCTACTCACATGGACTTTATCTCTTCAACACATTAAGGTGTCCCTTCTTTTAGTAG